GATGGGGGGATGGTCAGCGGTGATGGGGGGATGGTCAGCGGTGATGGTCAGCGGTGAGGGGTGATGGTCAGCGGTGAGGGGTGATGGTCAGCGGTGAGGGGGGATGGTCGGGGTCGCAGTCCTTGCTCTCTATAAGAAGTTACAATGTAACAGAAGAACAGAAATGATATATGTGTCCTGTGTGCACCTCTCCGGCCTCGTGTGGGGGATCGGTCTGCACTTTGGTGACCCCCGGGGGGGAGGCAGGGGGGGTTTATAATTTATGACTTCCTTCACATCCGTCTTTCCTAAGATCTGTGTCTACACATTCGTCATTGCCACCGCCGTCATCGATCAATGGTTTCCTGAACCCGAGGCATTGATAACCGATCCTGATAATTGATAACAGGCCGGAGTCAGCCCAGGTGACATCTCCCCTCATTTACATATCAGCCTCCCGCCTGCGTCCCGCCACCTCATTCATCAGCAGACGGCAAAGCTCAGCACTCGCTTGGGGAGCCTGAGAAAGCATTTCCTGCTCCCCATCAATCTCAGAGTGGAGTTTCAGCAAAAGATTTCTTCTTTATGGAACATTTGCGCTTAGTGAAGGAGATTTAATAACTCCGTCGGGTTTATAAAGCTGAAGAGAAATGTAGCAAATGACAAAAAGAAACATCTAAAGTCCAGAACGTAGTCCTATGCATGACATCTGAACCCCGCCCCTTCCATTATGACATCACTGAACACTGTGAGCTGCTCACAATGTGCGATAGAAGCTGCATTAAAGAGGGTAGTGGGCGGAGTCAGGCAGAAAGTCAGCAGCTGAAGTCACTATTTGCATATTTGAGCTCACCTGAGCGATGTGACCGCCGTTGCGGCGCATTCCTCTTCAGAGCCGCCAGTGACAGCCGCCAACAGAGGATGCCATAGCGACCCAGGCGGCCCGCTCGGCATCTGGCCGGGTCCCACTGTGCCCCGGGCCCCATAGCGGCCGCCTGGGTCGCTATGGCGATTGTTACGCCACTGCCGCCGTCCCTTCAGGTGCCGCTATACATCTCTGGTGACATTTCTATACAGAAAGTATAACTTTGTTTCAAGGTGATTCCGTTAATATCCAAACGATGGAAAAGGTTATTAATTTTACTGGATACACTAAAAGACGCGGAACGTAGAGATTCCTCCGAGTACAAAACTTACACTGCCGCTCAAAGGACATTCATGCCAAATAAACCCCAATCATGACATGAAAGCCGCCATGCCTTTGTCTGCGCTCAGCCTGCACTATAACTGCAGACAAGGACTGAAAAAATGTCCTCAATATAAAAAATAATTTCTTTGCTGAACCGCATTCATTTCATCACAAGAGATCGCTGACTGCTAGAAACATCTACCATTGTGGGAGGGGCAGAGACACAAACTACTGGAGGAAATCTCACCATTGTGGGAGGGGCCGAGACACAAACTACTGGAGGAAATCTCACCATTGTGGGAGGGGCCGAGACACAAACTACTGGGGGGAATCTCACCATTGTGGGAGGGGCAGAGACACAAACTTACCCATTACTAACGACCGCTGAATGGCCAAAACGATTCACATCTCGATGCAGGTTGGGCTTCTGTAGAACTTTCCATTCATCGCAAGCTGAAATCATTAAAAAAAAGTTATCACAATGAAACACAACCCCGTAATAAAGTCATGTTTATAAAACTCCCAACAATCAATGTTTAGTAAATTATTATTTTGGTTGGGTTCCCTATTTAAAGGGGAACGCTATCATATTTCCCTGACATTGACCGGCTCTATTATGACACCTGGAAGTCATATTTAAGAGACTTTGCTCTTATTTATTGGCTGTTCTCAATTTTTAGGTTCATTTTAACATTCATTTGGATGTTCCAATATCGCTTATTTATAATTCCACTCCCCCCCCCCCCCCCCCCCCCACGCGGGCCACCCGGCTTAAAAGCGAA